TTAAAAATTCAAAAGACAGACTGACTTTTTTGTGAGGGGCTAATGCAGCTGGTGACTTTCAGCTGAAGCCAGTGCTCACTTGCCATTCTGAAAATCTTAGGCCCTTAAGAAGTATGCTAAATCTACTCTGCCTGTGCTCTATAAATGAAACAACAAAGCCTGGATGACAGCACATCTACTTATAGTGTGGTTCACTGTTTTAAGCCCACTGTTGAGATCCATACTCGGACAAAAAGACTCCTTTCAAAATATTACTGCTCATTGACAATATATGTTGTCACCCAAGAGCTCTGATAGAGATATACAAGGAGATTAATGTTGTTTTCATGCCTGCTACCACATTAATTTTGCGGCCCATGGATCAAGAAGCAATTTTGACTTCCAAGTCTTATTATTTAAGAAATAACATTTTGTAAAGCTATAGTTGCCATAGACAGTGATTCTTCTGATGGATCTGGGTAAAGTACACTGAAAACCTTCTGGAAAGGATTTACCATGATTCTAGATGCCATTAAGAACATTCATGATTTATGGGAAGAAGTCAGAATATCATCAATATTAACAAGTGTATGGAAGAAGTTGATTTCAACCCTCATGGATGACTTAGAGGGGTTCAAGACTCCATGGAGGCAGTAACTGCAGATCTGGAAATAGCAAGAGAACTAGATTTAGAAGTGGAGCCTGGAGATGTGACTGAATGGCTGCAATCTCAGGATAAAATTTTAATGGATAAGGAGCTGCTGCTTATGAATGAGCAGAGAAAATGGTTTCTTGAAATGGAATCTATTCCTGATGAAGATGTTGTAAGCATTGTTGAAATGACAACAAAGGATTTAGAATATTACATAAACTTCGATGATTGGAATGGAATATGCAATATCTTTAAGGTATGCCTGTACTGGTAATTTGAGTGTCCTTTTTTATATCCATGCTCAGTCTGGCTAAACGTTTATCAATTTTATTTATCTTTTCAAAGAACCAGCTTTTTTGGTTTCATTGTTTTTTTGTTATTAATGTCATTGACTTCTGCTTATTCATTTGTTATTTTCCTCATTCTTTTGCTCTGAATTTAATAGGTCATTAAATATGAAATGTCTGATTTCAAATCAAACTCAAAAGTGTAGTTTATTATATCTCAAATGAGAAGCTGTACAATCAGCTTAGTTTGGCTACACCTAAACTATCGACACTGTTTGGATTTCTTAACGGTAGCTCGTTTATGCCAGCAGTGAAGAAACCTGGCGAGCAAGTGGTGAAGAAATCACTAAAGGCATCTTCCACAGCTTGTTGAGAATTGAATATTTTTCCTTGTATGAAGTGGTCCAAAGCCTGGAAAGAGTGGCAGTCAGTTGGTGCAAGGTCTGGTGAATACAGTGGATGGCAGAGAGTTCCCAAGTCCAGCCTCTGTAGTTTGAGCACCGTTGTTTGTGCGGCACGTGATCAAGTGTTGCCTTGCCAGAGGATTGGCCTGTCTGTATTGACCAATCTCGGCTGCTGAATCACAAGCATCCTTATCATTTCATCCAGTTGGTTGCAGTATACATCAGCTATCATCTACTGACCAGGGTTCATGAAGCTGGAGCCGATAGTACCAGCGCTGGACCACCAAACAGGCACCATTAACTTTTTTGATGAATATTTGTTCTGGGGCTGTGTTTTGGCACTTTGTCTTTATCCAACCATTGTGCCAAATGCTTGTGATTGTCAGAAAGTATCCATTTTTCATCACACGTAATAATATGTTGTAGGAATTGTTCACCTTTATTTTGTGACAGCAAAGAAATGAAAGCTTTGAGAAAATGTCTCTTCTGACAGTCGTTTAATTCAAGCAGTACCCATCTATCCAGCTTCTTTACCTTGCCAATTTTTTTCAAATGGTCCAATATTGTTGGAATAGTAATGTCAAACCTTGCTGCTAGTTCACATGTAGGTTGAGATGGATTCCCTTCCCCTACAGCTTTCAACTCATCATTACCCACTTTGGTCTGAGGTCGCCCACATGGATCATTTTCAAGATTAAAATCACCAGAATGGAACTTCTCAAACCATTGACGTACTGTGTGTTCATTAGCCACATCCCTCCCAAACACTTCATTGATATTTTGAGCTGTGTGTGCTGCATTGGTTCCATGACAGAACTCATATTTGAAAATAACATGAATTTTTAACTTATCCATAATTCCACAAAAATTGCTCTTAAAAAATTTTTGAAAGATAATCACAACCTACAGCATGCATATGAAAGGCTGAGGATGTACCTTCACAATTAAAAAAAAACCAAACAAGTGAGCAGTGTCAAAATGAAATATCAGAGAGATGAACTGTCAAACTTAGTATGTAAGGAAATTGGACATTTCAATACTTAATAATCGCTTCTCAGCCTTTTGGCTAGGATCAAGTGTAGTATCAATACTTAATAGTTTGCTGTCTTTTTTACAGTTTCTTAAGGAATAAATTTAGATTATTGTCTTTAGTCCATTCAGACTGTTATAACAAAAATAACTTAAATGGTATAGCTTATAATTAACATAAATTTATGTCTCACAGTTCCGAAGTCCAGGAAGTTCAAGATCAAGTTGCCTTCAGATTTCGCATCTAGTAAGGGCCCACTTTCTTGTTCATAGACAGCACCTTCTTGCTGTGTCCTTACATGGTGGAAGGGGTGAGCTACCTCTGTGGGGTCTCTGTTATAAGGGCATGAATTCCATTCATCAAGCTCTGCCTTTATGACCTAGTCACCTCCCAAAGACCCTACTTCCTAATGCCATCACATTGGTAATTAGGTTTCAACATGTGGATTTGGGGGAGATACAAACATTCAGACCACAGCAATTATTAAGATTTTTTTTCTTTTCTGATGTAAGCATATATAGTCAACCTTTTGTATCTGTGGGTTCTGTATCCATAGATTCAATGAACTATAGATCAAAAAATTGGGAAAAAATGGAAGGTTGCATTTGTACTGAATATGTACAGACTTTTTTTCTTGTTATTATTCCCCCAAAAATTTAGTATAAGAATGATATACAGAGCATTTACATTGTATTAGGTATTATAAGTAATCTAGAAATGATTTAAAGTATACAGGAGGATATGTATAGGTCATGTCAAATACTACACCATTTATATAAGGGACTTGAGTGTTGATTTTGGTATCAGTTGGGGATTCATAGAACCAATCTTCCACAAATACCAAGGGGTAACTGTAATGCTACAAATTTTCCTCTAAGCATTTGCTTTAGCTACATCCCACACATTTTGGTATGTTGTTATTTCAAATACTGGCAGCTTCTGCTTTTGCTTGAGAAAGGCAGCCACCTCGATAAAAAAGAAGCTCAAGCATACTACTGAATTACGAGATGCAATATGAAGAGAGATACACCATAAGAAGGAACATCAGGCACGAGACAGTGACGGAAGCCTTCTTGGACCTTCCATTCCAGCCCAGCCAGCTACTGCATGCAGTTGAGAGAGGCCTTGGCTGATTCCACAAAGAGTGGAAGAACAACCTGGCCACTCCCTGCCCAGGCTCCTGACCCTATCCTGTGGTGACGAGAAAATTCAGATAAATGTTTAGTCTACTTTTCAAATGGTTTTTACATTCTTTACAAATGGCACACCGCCTTGGCCGGCACCCAGACTGAACCGCTCCCTGACCCAGTGATATGCTCCAGGACAAGAATGAAAAATTTGAATTACACAGAGGTAGCTATTCTAATTTTCAGCAGATAAAGATTATTAGGTCTCCACTAGCTGACTGTGTAGGCCAGAAATAATAATTTTTCTATGTATGTTCAACTAACAATTTCATCAAATCTAGCCTACAGCTACTCTTCATATACTATCACCAAGATTTCAGATTTTTAGGGCCTACTAGCATTTTTATTTGGTGAAAAAAATCCTGTATTTTGTCTTTAGTCAACTTTTAAAGTGTGTTGTGTTTTTTGGCAAAAGAGTGTAAGTGTTGTTTTACCCTCAGTTGAAACTGAATCCCTACTCTTTGGATGCAGCCTTAGCTGCTGATAAAGTAGATGGCCGAAGCATTGTTTCTGAGCTTAGCAAGGTGAGACTCTCTTGTGAAGTGGACTCGGAAGCCCGCCAGTCAGCCTTAGGAGATAACTAAACTGGCTAGGATAATGTGTTAATTAATGTGGCTATCTAGGAATTTTCAGAGTTTTTATTTACCTTTAGCTTTCTGTCAAAGAAGTTTTCAAGAGAAAGCTACTCATCCACCTAAGGGAGTAGATAAGCATAGACGGTTCACTCACTTGCACCATTTTGTAGAATGATATAAAGTAGCGGTCCCCCACCTTTTTAGCACCAGGGACTAGTTTCATGGAGGACAGTTTTTCCATGGACTGGTGTTGGGGATAATTTTGAGATGATTCAAGTATATTACATTTATTGTGCACTTTATTTCCATTATTATTACATTGTAATATATTTATATATGAAATAATTATACAACTCATCATAATGAAGAATCTAATGCCACCACTGATCTGATAAGAGGCAGAGCTCAGGCAGTGACGTTAGTGATGGGGAACGGCCATAAATATAGATGAAGCCTCACTTGCTCACTGCCGCTTCACCTGCTCACTGCTGCACACTTCCTGCTGTGCAGCCCAGTTCCTAAGAGGCCACAGACAGGTACGAGTCTGCAGCCCAGGGGTTGGGAACTGCAGACATAAATGATTTCCTCAAGCTAGTAACTGGTAGAGTAATGAAGAAAAAGATTGATTTCCTTAAGTACATATAAAAATAAAATACCAGCTATCAGGCAGCCTTTATGAAGAATATTTAAAGTGTAGTTATTGTATTTAAGATGGAATAATCAAGGTGTTTTGCTACTGACTAATATTCATCATCATTCACGTCCACTCATTCCCCCAGCTGTTGCAAGCCTTGACTTCCTATTGTTGAGTGTGTTTCTGGGCTTGTCCTGTGCTCAAGCAGAGCCTTGCTGCCCCGATCAAAGCGACACTCCCTCCTTTGTCCAGGTTATGCCCATATCCAGTGACTGGTCTCATGAGGGTGGAAAAGCCCAGCTCCCTGTGCCACTTCTGGAACACCCCGAAGATGGAATGAGCCCTCTCCCACTGGCCAGTCCTGCTTCCTCACTTCTTCACAGGTGTTGATCCCAGGAGCGCGGCCCTGCACATGTTCTCCACCTCAGAGACTGACCACAGGCAAACCGACCCACAGCAATATATTTAGGTAGGTACCCCCTGAAAATTGCGATGTTGAAATCCTAACCCCCACAGTGATGGCACTAAGGGGGTGGGGCCTTTGGGAGGTGATTGGGTAATCAGGGCTGTGCCCTCATGCTTGGGATTAGTGCCCTCACGAAGGAGACCCCACAGAGCTAGCTCGCCCATCTGCCATGTGAGGACACAGCAGGAAGGCACCACCCGCACCAGGCAGTGGGCTCTCACCAGGCACTGAATCTGCAGATGCTTTGCTCTTGGACTCCCAGCCTCCAGCACTGTGAGAAATAAATTTCTGTTGTTTATAAGCCACTCGGTTTATGGTATTTTGCCATAGCAGCCTGAGCAGACTAAAACACCAACTCAGCGGCTAATCTTGATTCATCTAAACCCGTATTTATTTCCCCTGATCCCCATCCTACCCTATATTCTTTTAAAGCAAATCCTATGTTATAAATTTTAATCTGTGATTGTATCAGGATGTATCTATAAAAGGTAATGATACTTCTTTTTAAAAATCACAACCATAATACCATTATTATACCTTTAAATATTAACAGTAATTCTCAATACCATCAAATAAAGTCAGTGTTTAATTAGCTTGAAACAGAATCTATATGAGGTCCTATAAACTGCAATTGATTGATATGTTTCTTAATTCTCTTTTGATATTTAGCTTCTTTCTCAGTTTTTAAACAATGTAATTTTCAACTTTTATGATTCCTGTGCTTGGAGGTTCAGTCCCAAAAGCTTATGGTATGCATATGATACTAATAGTAGCTGCCTTTTGAGGCATTTTTCTGAGCCAGGTACTAGGGTAAGTGCTTGGCAGGTATTATCTCATTGAATCTGTATAACAACTCAGTGAGCTAGGTATTAGCAACCCCATTTTATGGACAGAAACTGACAGAGAGATGAAGGAATTTGCCTGGGATCACATAGTTAATAAAAACAGAGCTGAAGTTGAAAACCACGTCATTCTGACTCCAAAGTTCATGTTCTTACCCTCTAGGCTATATTGTCTGAGTAAATGCATCAGGAGAAATCAATACCACGCTGAGTGGGTGCTATTTTATTCTCAGTATATTTATGGGTGTTTGAGATTTTTCTTAGGTTAACAAAGGAAATTGAATGCCATCATAAAATGGCCACATAATCAATCTAAATCAACAGACCCTCGGTGTACATGGAACTAGGTAGAAACTGAGCAAAACCCACAAATAAACGATATTTGATCTCTGCCTTCCAAATGCTCACAACCCAGAGGCTGGGTGGAGGGAGACAGACAGATACACAGGCAGATCCAATAAAAAGTGGATGTGGTTAGTGCTGTAATAGAGCTGCAGACAGAAAACAACGGAGGCAGAAAGAAGGTAATTCTAATCTGGGAGGTTAGGGAAGGTGTTTTGGAGATTGTGGGAGCTGCAGGGCCCTTGACTGATGAAAAGGATATTAACAAAGTTTAGGTGGATTAGGACTGAAGATGATGAATATTAAAGCATAATGCCGCATTTTTATGAAGCTCATTTGGGGCTTCTGTTTCTGCCTGTTGATTATGTGGAAATGCACAAAGCATTTATTGCAGGTTTCTCCACAACTCAGCAACTTGCCACATGGGCAGATGGGAACCAGGCCCTGACTGCCTTTCCTGCCTTTCCAGGTAGAATGCTGGTTGAGGGGGCAATATTAAGGGCGTAATGTCCCCCCATATTGACTGCCATTATCTGTTTAAGTCAGGCAACTTGCCAGTTCTGTCTTGGCAGGAGAGCCTCAGTTCCCAAGATAACCCTTTTGTGCCTCTCTGATTACAACCTGATCTCAACGGTGGATTGTTCCTGGTCAACAGCAAGCGGCTGTCACTGCAGGAGGCGGTCAGACCCTGTGCTTAGTGACAGATCCATCTGAGGTTCCTTTTAGATATATGAAATTTAAAAACTCTCCTTTCTAGCACTCGGAAGGACTACTTCATTTTATACATTTATTAGAGAAACCTGCTCCTCTGGCTTTATGAGACAAAAGAAAAAAGGTAAGCTGAGCAGCAGAGTCTTCATTTCTGTTCTGTCACCTGTCGGCAGCAGCAGCTCAGCCTCAGCCTACCTGACCTTTTTCCCAACGCAGTATTCCCCCCTTCCTGCCTCCTCGCACATCTAGCAATTGTGCTCTCAAGAAAGGCAAGGAGGCCCGGCGCGGTGGCTCACACCTGTTATCCTAGCGCTCTGGGAGGTCGAGGCAGGCAGATTGCTAAAGGTCAGGAGTTCAAAACCAGCCTGACCAAGAGCAACACCCCTTCTCTACTATAAATAGAAAGAAATTAATTGGCCAACTAATATATATAGAAAAAATTAGCCGGGCATGGTGGCGCATGCCTATAGTCTCAGCTACTTGGGAGGCTGAGGCAATGGGATTGCTTGAGCCCAGGAGTTTGAGGTTGCTGTGAGCTAGGCTGACACCACAGCACTCACTCTTGCCTGAGCAACAAAGCAAGACTCTGTCTCAAAAGCAAACAAACAAACAAACAAACAAAAAAAAAAGGCAAGGCGGTTTTAACATCAATCAAAGCAAAACCTAAGTGAAGAAGTAAATCTGCTACGCACTCCTCCTCCCCTCCAAGCCACATGTAGCAATGAATCCAAAAGTCAAAAGCAAAATATTTGAAGTATCCATACTAGCAGTTCTTGTCATTAAGAAAGAAAATTGAGTTAATCATATAGCCTGCAGGCCCTCACTTCAAAATAACTTGAAAATCAATGCTGCCATATTATTTCCAATGACATTAAAAATATTTACATTTGTATTTTTTATTAGTACAGTTATGGCAGGCGGTAATGATTAGTGCTATCCATTAAATATTTCGTTTTTTTCTCCCAGATGCATGATGATATTACATTTCCTGAACTCTGGGAGTTAGGTGTGGCCATGGGTTTGCTGGCTAAGACACTGTGAGTGAAGGGAGTGGATGCCACCTGCAGACAAGTTTGGAGAGCCGGTGTGTGATTGCCCACGCTTTGCTTCCATCTGCAATGGTGGCTGGCAGCCTGCCAGCTAGAGGTTGCTCTGTCGACCTGGCTGCGCTGGTACAGGCCCCAGCCAACAGCATTGTGGGTACGCAGCACAGGTTAGAAGTAAGCTTTTGATGTTTTAAGTTACTGAAACTTTGAGGTTGGATGTTACTGCTGCCGTTACATGGAGTCACTTGGCTGATGTATAGAGTTTCTTAAAAGCTTCTGAGGATTAAAATGAGCCTTTAGATAACCTTTCAGATAATTTCAGAAAAGATTTTGGCTTGATGAGTGTGATAAAACACCATCTACAAACTAGAGGGACTAATGATAATTTTGCCAAACTTTCTAAGGACTCATTTTCCAATCCTTTGATGATTTATATAGCATCATATATACTTATAATGTATGTAATACATAATATAGCCCCCACAACAAGTGTTTCTGAGAACCTTGAAAGTTTTATAGAGTGGCAAACAGACATGGAAGAAATTACCCTTATATCCTTATTACCCTTATGTACCCTTATTGCCCTTATATAAGATTTAATATTAAAAATTTCCCACTTTTAAAACATTGGTTCTAAAACCTCCTATGCCCATTTTCTATAAGATTGGCCCTTTCTAGATGTATTTGCTACAAGAACCTCATAATAAAGACTGAACTGGCTGGCAAATCTACACTATTCAACAAATTTATGCTAAGCTTCACTGTGCCAAAGTTATATTTTAGCACCCTCTGCTGGAAAAATTATATATGCCTCTGTTTTATATATAGGTGATTCCTGCCAATGTGATTTTTTTTGACTTGTGCCTTTTAATACAGACTCTAGAGAGTGTGTTATTTAAAATCTGCACTAAAAGATGTCTCTCCTTTAAACAAATGCCCTTCTGACAAACTATCCATGTACCAGTGGCATTTGTCTCCTGCAGATGCTCTAGAAAAAGAAAGATGTATGCACGTATAGTTGTTAAAATGTGTATAATTCATTCAGCAAACCATGTGACAAAGAGCCAAGTGGTGAGAATCCCATTTTAAGCTAAACAGATGCTATCACTTGTCTTAGTCTGTTTTGTGCTGCTATAACAGAATACCACAGATTGGGTCATCTATAAAGAAAGGGAATGTATTTCTTACAGTTCTGGAGGCTGGGAAGACCCAGGTTGAAGGCATCTGGCGAGGGCATGTCCTTCCATGGCAGAGGTGGAAGGACAAGAGGGCAGGAAAGACAAGAGGAAAGGGGGCTGACTTATCCTTTTTATCAGGAAACAACTCCCTTGATAAATAACCCACTCTCAAGATAATGGCATTCATCTCTTCATGGGGGCAGAGCCCTCATTACCTGAGCACCTTTTTTTTAAAGGTCTCACCTCTTAATACTATCACAATGGGCCGGGCGCGGTGGCTCACGCCTGTAATCCTAGCTCTCTGGGAGGCCGAGGCGGGCGGATCGCTCGAGGTCGGGAGTTCGAAACCAGCCTGAGCAAGAGCGAGACCCCATCTCTACTATAAAAAATAGAAAGAAACTAATTGGCCAGCTAATATATATAGAAAAAATTAGCCGGGCATGGTGGCTCATGCCTGTAGTCCCAGCTACTTGGGAGGCTGAGACAGAAGGATTGCTTGAGCCCAGGAGTTTGAGGTTGCTGTGAGTTAGGCTGACGCCACGGCACTCACTCTAGCCTAGGCAACAAAGCAAGACTCTGTCTCAAAAAAAAAAAAAATGCTATCACAATGGCAATTCAATTTCAATGTGAGTTTTAGAGGGGACATTCACACTATAGCATCTCCGTCCTCAGGGAGTTTACAGTCTTATTGGGGAGCAGACTTTTACCAAATGAAGAGATCGATAAGTATTTAATTAGGAACCGTGATGTGCTTCGAAAGGCTGCAACTAACTATGGGAGCATGTTAGCTGGGTGAGTGTATTAACCTAACTCAGGCTGGCTAAGCCCGAAAGCAGTGTTTGGGCTGAGACGAACTGGACTCACGGACAGGTGCTAAGCAGCTAGGGAGCAGGACAGACTGGTGAGGAGGTATTGCAGCCATGGGAAGTGGCAGGGGCACCACTCTGTGAAACACTCAGTGTTTATGAAAGACAAACAAGATTTCAGAGTAAAAAGATCCAGGGGGAGTTTTGCTCTTTGACTTAAGAAGGACGAATGGGGGGCAGGATAGATGGGACAGGCAGTACACCATCAGCTCTGTGTTTCCAAAAAAAGAAGTTACCCTTGCTGTGTTTTGGAGAAGTAATAACTGATTGGATATAACAAGTGGCTTCCCTTGACTCTAGAGTTGAACCTAGTGCCTGAGCATGACATTTAGAGTTCTCTAGGCTTGTCTATTTTTCCAATTTCATCCTTCATGTGATTTCTCTATGATTACTTATTGTTTCTTGAGGACATGCACCAAGCTTATTTGAAGTGCCCTTTCTTTTACTCTCTTCTCCTTTCTCCATGTGTAGAAATGGCAATTATTCCTAAAAGACCAAAGCAAAACCACCTCCTTTGGGAAGCTTTCTCTGAGTCCCTGTGCAACATGAATTCTGCTTCTGTTTCCTCTCCACTTCCATAATGTAGCATCTGCATTTCTACACAAGAAACGTCAGATTTCTCTCTGCCATGAAATTGTAAAATATAAAAGGGACGATATCCTCTTCATCTTTATATGCACCCCCCAAATGTTTCCTAGATCCTTGCTTTAAACTCAATAAATGCAGTTTGATGTGAAATTTCATTGTTACATTTCATTTTACCCCCTAATAAATTTCATTAAATCTCTCATAGACACAAACTAATAAGGATGCATTCACACACATAAATACATTTAGATCCACACTCCTAAGAGCAGAATGGGCAAGAGCTCAATTTTGCTGGAGTTAAAAGAAAATACTGTAGAAAGGAGACAGAGGAAGGGAGGGGAGGTGGGAATGAGCAGGGAGGTGAGTTGGAGTGAGTGGGCAAGTAGGTGAGAGGGGGACTCGTCAGTGAAGTGGCCAGAGGATGAGCGTGTAAGCAGCCCTGCCCATATAAAGCCGAAGGCTTGCTCTGCTTCAGACAATGTCTGTCTTTTTCACACATTTACATTATGGGTTGGAAAAACAGATTCGCCACAGTCACAAACAAACTAGCTGAAACACGTATGTGTATATCTATTTCAAGATGTAAGACAAGATATAACGTGTACTTGCTATTCTCTTTGCCATTTTCTCGTTTGGGGGAAAGCTCTATTAAATCCGAGTTGATGAATGGTGGTCCCCTGCTAATCGTGAAAGTCCTGACTCGTAGGGATCAGTGCATATGGATCAACTGGGCATCTTGTGAAGACATAGATTGTGATTGAGTGGGCCCAAGGGTGGGGCCCCAGGTTCTGCTTCAGGTGATGCTGATTCTGCTGGTCTGTGGCCCATACTTTGAAATGCAAGGGACTGGATGATTTCTGGTAATCCTTTCTAGTTCTTTTATAACTGTTTTGTTGGGAAAACCTTCAACTTTTTGGAAGTATTCTCCTGTGACTCACTTATAGTTGAATCTATAGTTTTCAGGTGAAAACAAAATAAGTCATTGTGAAGCACGGAATTAAAAAGGTAAGTAACAATCCTAAAAATAATCCAGATTTTCTTAAGGCAATAAAAACGTCGAAAGTAAGTGGCAAGTGCTAAGCCTGAATTTTTAAGGGTGCCCTTAAAATCTGGTGGACAGCCACTGTTGAGTGAAGGTTTGGTCCTCATCTCTCTTATAGGCGAATGGACCAGATCAGTAGATATCAAAGTTCTTTTGTTTGTGACCCACAAAAAGAAATATATTTTAGGTTGTGTTCCTCCATATAAATAAAAGTTTCATAAATAAAACAATACCTTCACTGTATGCAACGTACTCTGATAATTTTTATTCTATTGTGATCCATTAAAAAAATGCTTCTCATAACTCACTAATGTGTGGTGGCCTGTGGTTTGTAAAATCTGGACTAGATGACCCTTTCAGCTTTTTTCCTTTTTTTTTTCTTTTTTTTTTTTCATCACTGTTGATTAGCAAAATGTCATAAGACTGTGTTGCATTTAGATTTCTAAAGCATGTATTTGTCTTTATTTTTGTGTGAGATACAATATTAGAAGGTGGGACTCCAGGTTAGGCTGGATGGCAGAAAGACCTGCTATGTCTTCCAGAAGATATTTTTATTTTAGTTGCCAGTTATTTGATTTTTTCTGCCAGTCTACAACATAACTACATGTTTGATCCTTGGAATTTTACGGAGACAAGCAGGGGTATTTTTCCTCCCCTCAAACCTCTTAACTCTCACTTAAGCAAGGCAGTAGAGCAGAATGGTTATGAGCCTGGGCTGAGGGCAGACTGGTCTGCACTGTGGCCCTCCCACTTACTATGTAACTTTGGTCTAGTTACTTAACCTCACATGCCTCAGTTTCTTCATCTATAAAATGGGAATAATAATACAGGTTGAATATCCCTTTTCCAAAATGCCTGGGACCAGAAATGTTTCAGATTTCAGATTTTTTTTCGGATTTTAGGATATTTGTACATGCATGAGATATTTTGGGGATGGGGCCCAGTCTAAACATGAAATTCACTTATGTTTCATATACACCTTATACATATAACCTGAAGGTAATTTTATGCAATATTTTAAATACTTTTGTGCATGAAACAAATTTTGTGTGCATGAGGTGGTGTCAAGCATGGAATTTTCCCCTTGTGGTGTCACATTGGTGCTCAAAAAGTTTTGGATCATGGAGCATTTCAAATTTGGATTTTGAATTATGGATGTTACAAGTTCCCACCTAATAGAATTGAGGTAAAGATGAAATGAGTTAACATAGTAGACAAGTATGACAAAATGTCATCAGTCGCTGTTACTTAGTTGTAAATTATGATGTCAAGTTTTGAGCCTAACTCTAATTTTCATGATAAAGTAGAAAAACATTATTGTTATTAGTAAGTACTTTTTAAACAGTGGCTTGAACATAGTGGCTTGAGCTAGAATATTAAGTCCAATAAAAGTATTTTTGGTAATCTTCAAATGTAATTTTCCCCCAATCCTGATTCAGATGGGCCTGCAATAACTTAGTTATCCAACTGATTAACATCCTAAAACTATACTGGGGGGATAAAAATTCTACCAGAAATTTCAATTTTGTACTAGAAAATACAGATTCAGTAAAAAGTCACATTTCTCTGGAAATGTTAACAATCAGAGCTTTGTTTAAATGAAAGGATTCTGGCTTCATTCTATGTCTAAACAAAGAAAACATGACATATTTTAGGAATCTGTTTCTTTTCGCTTGGTGGTCTCCCTCCCCCCCCACACACACCATTGTTATCCAGTTTTTTGGCAGGGGAAAGTGGTTATGGAAGTTTAGGGACAGATAGATTGAGCTGCTAAAGGAAAGTAATATGGTATCTATTTTTCAAGTACTCTACCTATTAAGTTGTGAAAATAATAGTATAGCTACCTTTTAAAAGTCCTAAATTGATTAACTTTTCCCTAAAAAACCAACAAATTAACCTGAACAACTATAATGTAAACCTTTATACCTATGATCTAGAACCAACTATTCTACCCGTCTTGGGAATGATTACACGAGGAAAGAAAAGGAGCATCAGCCATATGTGCCTTCCTGCCCATGACAAGTCAAAATCTGTTACTGTATTAGCAGTTTAAATTGCCACATGGACGCTGGTGTGTGTCCAGTGCTTAATATAACTTAACCAAACCACTGCTAGGACTTGAACCATAAAGGATTTCCATAAGGCCACAATGGAATGGGGGGACAGAGTATTTGAAATAAGGGTATTTTTCCAAGTAAGGTCTAAAAGGAAAATTCAAACTTTTCTCCTTGATTACTCACTCCTATTGGTCAGGAAGCCTGCCCTTCTCAATGACGCCTTGAACACCTCCTCGCCTCCTCACCTCTCCGCCCCACCCCATGCCCTTGCCCAGCACAGCATTAGTCCAAATTTGCATTTCTGCAACCTCCTTTAGGTTGCCTTCCAACATATCCTCAATACTACTGCTAGGCCTAATCTTTTTTAAAATGCCACTTTGGTCTTGTCATCTTCTCTTTTTATACTCTTGTCACTTCTTTGGCTTTAACTTTCCCTAGTTTGCAGATGACTGCTTCAGTCCTGACGGCTCTCTTGAACTCCCTCCATGCATACACTGGAGTCTTCCTGCTGAACTCCTTGAGCCAGATGATCTATCATCATGCCCCAAGTCCTGCATGGCAAATGTCACCTAATTTCCCTCCCATCAAAGATTTCTGTTCAGGGCACTGACTTTCATTCAGTCACTCAGGCTAACAATCTAGAAATCCTGTTGGCTCTTCCCATGTCCTCGGCAGCACAGACAACTTGTGGGTCCTGGCTCTGCAGTGCTGCTCCCACCGTCCTTCCTTCCCCAAGTTCAAGCTCTTGTGGCTTTTTGCCCAGGTAAGTGGAATGAGCAATGTATTAATATATGATACTGTATATTTATATAACACTGTATATTGAGGACATAAAAAGAAAATGAGAAAGCTTATGTTTTTAAGATTAAGCTTTCCTAATGTTTGCTGTAAAGACAGATACTTGGTCCTTAGATTACATGTTCCTGTGTCAAATAGGATAATAGGAAGTATCCTGAGGGCATAGGAGGAGTTCTACTTTCAGTGTGTCCTATGAATTGCTGTTTCCTTGCTATGAGTTGTTTTCAGTTGGCCTAAATTTATAAAAGTAAGACTTTAAAATAATAAGTCATCACTAAAATGGCCAGGCAAACCTTTTGTACCACACAGGAGTTTTCTGGGGTTTTTTGTGGCAAAGTATGTAAAGAAAAGTTACACTCTTTTTTCTTTTATTTTTAGGTGAAAGTATCATAGGTTGGAATCCTGGGAAGAAAATTCTGAGACACATTCTGCGAGATGATTATTAGGGCACCCCCTTGGTTTCAACACCAGCAGAGGGAAAGGGGAAGAAGGAAGAGGACTGAGCAGAAGGAAAAACCAAGATGCATTTCAGGCCAGAGACTGCTTGGCTGACCCCAGAGGAGCTCTGGAGCTAGAATGGGCCTTCAGAGTTAAATTGAGTTGGGCTAAAATGGCCAGGTCTTCATATTCCATGGGCCAGTCACTGGATGTGGGCCACCCCAGGTCGGGGTGTAGACAAGGCACTCCCTAAAATGCCACCAGCACTCCCTACAGCTGGAACAAGACCAACACAGAGGGGGCTACATCTGGATGGTGGATCACACAGTGTACATCCCAAAAGATAAGTATATAAAGTTTGCTGACTGCTATGGTCTAAAGGTTTGTGTTCCCCCAAATTCATATATTGAAACCTAATCCCCAATATGATGGCATTAGGAGGTGGGATCATTGGTGATTCAGTCATGAGAGGGGAGCCCTCATCAGTGGGATTAGTGCCCTTATGAAAGGGACCCCACAGAGCTGCCTTTCCCATTCACCAAGTGAAGACATAACTAGAAGGCACCATCTGTGAATGAGGAAGTAGGTCTTCACCAAACACCCAGTCTGCAGGCACCCCGATCTTTGACTTCCCAGCCCCCAGAACTCTGAGAAATAAATTTCTATTGGTTATAAGCCACTCAGTCTGTGGTATTTTATTCTAGCAGCTGGAACGGACTAAGACACTGACCTTTTCTGCAACAAAAAGATAGAGTGACCCTCTTCATTAGCAAAGCATGCAGCAGATGTTTTTGGAAAAATAACCACATTTAATCTGTTTCCTCAAGACAAAGGGAATGTCTTAACAGTAAATGAGAAAGTTGTTACTTTAGAAAGAAATCCACCCTATGGAGAGAGTACTATGAAAAGGAATATTGATAAACATTTCCACTGTTAGATGATTTAAGTCCATCTCTGCAAAAGTAGTGATGAAAAAAAAATGATTTAAATCCAAAACTATATAACTATGTCACCTATCTGCACATAAACATGGACAAAGAATTGTTTCATATTGTTTAAAATTTTTCTAAACAAAGAGTTTCTGTGAATTTTTAAGCTATTTGTAAAAACAGTAAAAAAGCAAATCTTTTAATTAGTGTTCAAGAAAAACTAACATAGGAAAGATGGAATGCTAGCTAAATTTCAGCAAAAATCTTTGTGTAATAAATGGACAGGATTGAGAAAATGTGAGTCACAATTCAAAGTCACTCAGAGATGCACTGCTATCATTTGGATCTCTGCATCTTTTTTAGGTATTAAAGGACAATGTTTCTCTACTCACCACACTGTTGACACTAGGGGTGTGTGTGTGTGTAGTGGGGTGTCCATGCCAACCAATTCCCCAACTCTGTAGATACCAACTGGGTGTCCAACAATTCAGTTCTGACCTTATCCAGAGTTAATGTAGACTCTGGATAGTGTAGACTCCCACGAGACTGTCTCCACTTCAAATGCCAGTTGCAGATCTGGGCTTCCTATACTTCTGGCCAATGATCTATAAGTCAGAGGTTCCCAGAATACTCCCTCAGTTTCCATAATTTGCTAGAATGGCTCACAGAATTCAGAGAAACAATTTAATTTACTGGTTTATTATAAGTGCTATGATAAAGGATACAAATGAATAGCCAGATGAAGAGACATATAGAGCAAGGTCCAGAAGGGTCCTGAGCATAGGCACTTCTGTCCCCATGGAGTTGAGATGCACCACCTTCCAAGCACATGGATGTATTCACCAACCCAGTAGCTCCCTGAACCTGGTGGTTTAGGGATTTAGGCTTCATCATGTAAGCATAACTGATTATTAACTCAATCTCTAGTCTCTCTGTCCTCCTCAGAGGATGGGGGTGGAGCTGAAGGATCCATCCTACTAATCATGGCTTGGTCTTTCTGGTGACCAGCCCCATCCAGGAGCCCACCAAGAGGTGCCTTGTTAGAACAAAATACTCTTCTATCACCCGGGAAATTCCAAGGGATTCAGGAGCTCTGTCTCAGGAATCTCAAGGTCAAAGACCAAATATTAGAATAAAAGATGCTCCTAGCACCCCTATTGCTCTAGAAACTGTAAGAGTTTTAGGAGCTGTGTGTCAGGTCCTGGAGGCAGAAACCAAATATATGTATTTTTATGTCATAATATCTTTTAAAATGACAAACATTAAAATTAAGTATTAAGATAAACTGGATTTAGATCATTGAACTGTTGAATCTCAAAGTATTAATTATTTTCAAAAGATTTTTTTTTAAAGCAATTGAAGACTATTTGGTGATTGTGATGGGTTGAATCGTGTTCTACAAAAAGGTAAGTTGAAATCCTCCTTATTTGGAAATAGGGTCATTTCAGATATAATTAGTTAAATTAAGATGAGGTCCTACAGGTGGACCCTTATGTCATCTTACATGACTGGTGTCCTTATTAAAAGAGAGAAGAGACACATAGAGAAGTGGCCAGGCAAAGAGGAGGCAGAGACTAGATTTATGCAGCCAGAAGGAACAGCTGGGGCCACCAGAAGCTGGGAGAGACACGGATATCCACCCCTAGAGACTTCAAAGGGATCATGTGACCTGCAGACACCTTGCTTTGACTTTTAGCCTCTAGACCAGTAACAGAATAAATTCCTGTTGTTTTAAGCAACCCAGTGTATGCTAATTTGTACTTTGTGTTTCTAGCAATCTATTTTTTTCTTTTTTCTTTTGGGAGACAGAGCTCACTGAGCGGCCCTGGGTAGAGTGCAGTGGTACAGTGGGGCAGTGGCATCATCATAGCTCTCACTACTACCTCAATGCCTGGCTAATTTTTCTATTTTTAGTAGAGACAGGGTCTTGCTCTTGCTCAGGCTGGTCTCCCTCCAACTCCTGACCTCAAGCGATCCTCCCACCTCAGCCTCCCACAGTGCTAGGAATATAGGCATGATCCACTGCACCCGGCCTGTTTCTAGCAATTTAATGCAGTTATATTAAAATTTTTCCCTACCATTAAAAATAAAATTTTTGGTAGGGGAGATATCACTTCACCAATTGCAGTGCATTTGTGTGTTTTTAGCCCACAAAGAAGTCTACATTGTTGGGTACTTGAGGCTGACTTGCAAATTAACCAAAGTTTTAAAGTACTTTTTTCATTGTAAATATTTCTGTAAATACTACCAATTGGAAATTAGAACAGTAGAGTATTTTTCTGAATCCAATCCTATTTTTATTTTATACAGTATTTCCCAGCTGTGATCTTTGGATCAAATGCCAAGAGCTGGAAAAAATAGTTTGTACCAGTTTCAAGAAGTATGTCTTTGGGTTTTTGTAAATAATTTTAACTCAAATAAAATTGCTACTTTCAATATAAAAAATAATTTGTTTAAATTTAAATGTTTTATTTCTCTTTATCTCAACTTTTTAAATTCCTTTTTTTGTACCTTTCATAATATAAAGTAATAAGTGTGGTAATTTGTAAACAAACACATTAAAGTTGTGTGCTCAAAATTTTTTTGTTTTAACTAAAGAACAACATACAATAAAAATGTTTGAGTATGTGCTATAAATTGTGTTTGAAAAGTTATTTGGAGAAATAATTTAAAGCCTAGAATGGTGAGCTTCTTTATTTGTTTCTGCCAGGCCTTGAGGCCATACTAATCCAGGATTCCCTTAATCCAATTTCAGAATTTGAACTTTTCTGGGTCAGCCAGATCAGTCAAAGCCAACCCAGGCTGCAGGTTTATTCTCTGGTCCCCTCTTGTTCCTGTGGTTCAGGACTTTCTGTGTGGCTGGGAGTCTCCCTGTGCCCCAAGCCTGGGACTCCAGCTTCCTCCCCGGCCCCCAGAGCTGTGGACAGCACTGCTCAGCCTCATCTTAGGATCTTCTGATGCTCCCCTGGGTAAAAGAGCCTCCAAATACCTGGCTCTCGTTTCAGATTTTCCATTTCTATTTTCTTCCCAATCTTGGCCAAGTTATTTCTCGTTGTCTTATTAGCTCTTTGATACTTATAGATTTTTTTCTTAATTCTGATTTTTTTTAAGTTATATTCACCTAGAGAGTTTGCCTGATTTATCTAGGCTACCATTACTGAAAGCATGATCAGAAAACATTTAGAGACCACTATTCTAAACTGTGCCAATGATTACTTAACTCTTCAGTCTTTTCTCACCCCTAATCTCACCTCCACTTTGCTTCTAGATCAATATTTTTAAAACAATATTCCCATCAAGTCATTTTCCTGCTCCAAAAAAGAAAAAGAAAAAAATCCCTCAATGACTTTCACTGTGTGGTTGCTCTGTACTATGTCAATTTAGTCAAGCTGGAATTTTCCAGTATTTCCTTCCTTGTTTATTTCTGGATTTTTCTGGATCCATAGAGACATGCTGGATGATACTTGGGAGATCCAAATGAAACAGCTGCCAATTGTTTTTTTTAAGTTTTGATGGCTGGTGGAGAGTGCTAGGCATATAGTCACTGATCTGCAGCTGGCACACTTAATTGGCATGGAAAAGCGCCCAAAACCACAGTTCTTTTATGTACTAGGTTGAATGCGCTGTCCTTCCAAAATTCACGTTCAGAACGTGACCTTATTTGATAATAGAGCCTTTGCAAATGCAATTAATCACATTAAGATAAGGTCATACAGGATTAGGGTAGACCCTAAATCCAATGACTGGTGTCCTTTTAAGAAGGCCATGTGAAGACACAGAGACACAGACACAGGGAAGAATGGCACATGAAGGTGGAGGCAGAGATTGGAGTGATGCAGCTTGGCCACCAAATGCCAAGGATTGCCAGCAGCCACCAGAAGCTAGAAAAGACTCCTCCCTAGAGTCTTCAGAGGGAGCACTAGGGCTTTGCCAGCACCTTGATTTTGGATTTCTAGCCTCCAGGACTGTGAGAGAATAACTTTCTGTTGTTTAAGCTGCCTAGTTTCTGGTACTTTGTTATAGCAGCTGTAGGAATCGAATACA